CCTAGATACATGCTGAGATGTCCGCAATGGAAGTGACTGGCCCCAGGCAACTGGGGGAGTAGTTTCTAGAAACCCTGAGTTCTAGCCCTACATACTATCCCACTTTAGCCAAACCGAGGGCCGTGTGAGAGATCTAGATTCTGCCCTGAGAGCTGAACAGCCTTAATTCCAGAAGCTCATCCAGTGCAGCAAATAAGCCAGGCAGAGAGCTATGTAAAGGATTTATGTAAGTGATTCCACTTGGTGGGGCTCAGCCAGCCAGGCAGAGACTGTGGGGGTGGTCTGGGGGCTGTTAACCCAAGAAAGATCACAGTCCAGTGCAAAGATGAACAGTGGGGCCTCCAAGGCTAGTTCTGAGGGTAAGGAAACATCTAAATTGTGTGTGTGTGTGTGTGTGTGTGTGTGTGTGTTGGTCAGCTGTCCCTTACTCAGCTATAAAAGGAAAGCTCCCAAGCCTGCACCCTGACTAGTCTGGGAGAGTTTGGGCACAGGGAAGGGCAGTCCCTTTCCTGGAGACCACCCATCAGTCCATGGCAGTGGTGAGTGTGAGTGGGTACTCTTTTGACAAGGCCATGGCATCTCAGAGCTGCCAGGAGAGGTGGCAGGGCACAGATAGGGGAGTTGGTGGGTGTGGGTGGCAACCCAGAGGGGAACCTGCCTCTATGGTTTCATTCCACACCATGGTGTGAGCAGATGAGTGAGTGAGGGGCAGTCAGGATGACATATGGTAGGCAGGAGAAACCTGGAGCTTGGTCTGTCTGTGGGGCTCAGCTGACTTAGGCAGACAGGTAGCTAGTCTGGGTCAAATTGTGAGCACACAGAGGTTCTTTTGTGGGCATTTAGGAGCTGATGCCCACCATAGGGACAGCTAATATCAGCAATACAGCTATCCACCCAGCAGATCAAGAAAAACAAGAGACTTAAAATAGGAAAGATGATGCAAAGAAGACGAAAAACTATGCAGCATTGAAAAAGGCTTAGTTGCTCTGGGAGGCTGGGATACGAGAGGTCCTAAGAGGAGAGTTGGACAAGGGAGGAAATTAAAGCTCCCAGAAAGCCCTGAAAGAGGGGAGCGCTTGGAGGTTCTTCCCTTCAGTACTTGTAGAAAGGCGGGCTTGCTCTGTCCTCAACCGAGAGTTTAGCCTTCTGAACGTAGATTGCACTGGCATTAAAAGCCAGGAGCTGACAGTGGGTGAGGATTCCACAGTTGGGGCATAACCGTGTTAAGATTCAGGGCTGGGCAAGAGAAGGTGGGCACCACTTCTGTGGGGAGCCTCTTCATCCAAAAGACCTCTAATGTCATCAGGAACTTCCTGCCAACCCTATTCCAACCCCTGTCCTGTGGGCTCCAGCCTCTCACATTGTGCACACGGCTGATCCGGTTAGTGCATGGCTCAGTGGTGTGTGCCTCATTAGTCGAGCAATGGCAAGCTCTTCATGGCTTGGGCAGGCAGCTGCCTGTGGCACGTGGCTGGGGGCATCACCACCCTCCCTGTCCTCCTCCATGTCAGGAAAAGAGTGAGCTTTTTCTTTCTTTCTTTCTTTTTTTTTTTTGGTGGCACTGGGGTTTGAACTCAGGGCTTTACACTTGTTAGGCAGACACTTTACCACCTGAGCCATTCCACCAGCCTCTTTTTGTGATGGGATTTTTCGAGGTAGGATCTTATGAACTATTTGCTTGGGATGGCTTCAAACTGTGATCCTCCTGATCTCTGGCTCCTGGGTAGCTAGGATTATAGGCAGCTGGCAGGAGTGAACCCTGAGGATGCAACTTTAAGCCTTTGGGAACTGGATCTCTTTCAGGGTCCTTGTCCTTGCCCTGCCCTTAGGGCCATGCTGGACCCTTAGTTGTCCCTTTTACAACTGTGACCACTGCTCTGTGACTCTACCCATGGACTCTGTAGCTGCCACAATCTCACATTGTGCCCCTGAGTAAACAAGCCTGGGACAGAATAAAAGTGTTATTGTAAGGCCAATATATAGGAACCCTTTTTGGCAGCTATTTGTTTGAGAATGGATCAACTATCCCAGCAGGCCTCACACCCTCAAAATATGGACCCCTGATCCTGTGGCATTGCTACACCAACCCCAAAGAAGGACATAGTAGGTGATGACATGCTCAGGTAGGATTCTGTAGAGCACGCACAGGCTGGGAGCCACCTTCTCCACAGCTAGGTGTGCTTCCGTCCCTTCACCAGGAAGGCCTTCCTTGACCTCACCCTGCCATCCGCTCTTTGTCCTCCTTGCATACTTTTGTGACTCTGAAAAAATTTCCTTTGCAGTCACATTGAAATTGCATGTAAAATGATGTGTGTGTTTACTTCACTGATGGCTTCTAACTGCGAGCAGGAGGGTATCTCTTTTGTTCCCAGCTGAATTGCTGTTGCTTGGCATGTGGTAGGGGTCTGTAAAGCACTGTTATTACATGAATGAACTGATGAATGAATGAATGAGTGCAGGTGACTTCAACCTGCCAGTTTGCTCTGGGAGATCCATGAAGGAGCCTCTGTGCCCTGCTTCCTGGTGCTATGTCCCCCCAACTGAGGTTATTTCACCCAACTGAGGATGTGAGGGCAGCCTGTCTGCAGGATTGGGTGCATAGGGCTGGACTGGTTGCACAGGATGGTCCCCCACAATGGTGTCTATGCTGTGGTCCCCATCCACCAGACATTGGTGTCACCTGTGTCTCCATTCTCACATGGACCTTTCCAGAAGGCAGTAAGGGCCCAGTGAAGTCATTTGTGTTTGTCTGCCAGTGTCAGGATCTGACAGCATTTCAAAGCACCAGGATACCTTGCTTATTACTGGGCAGAGTAATTGATGTCCCCGACATTGTCTTTTTCAAGCTGAGGGCCAGCCTCACACTGCTGTTTCTCATAGACCATGTTACTCCATCCCTGATCTGAGTGTCCTCTGGGGATTCTTGTCCCTTCTTCTGCCCCAGAGATGAATAGCTCATCTCTTGGAGGCTCTTTCTGGCACTCAAGTACTCTTTGTATCTGTTTCTTGGCTGGTGACCCTCAGGATCCTGTGTCTCCTTACTGAGACTCTCTGGCCCCTCAGGCTTTGGATCAGGGTGGCTTGATTCACGCTCACTGTGGAAGAGGTTGAGAAGGTGTGGTCTGGAGAAGGCACATTCCTACTTACAAAGGGACCTGAAGAGCCAATTCCAACTCTGGGGTTGGGACTGAACATGGTACTGTCCTTGGGCCCTGGGCCACCCAACCCAGCCTGGCAGTTCCAGCAGACGGGCCCAGCGTTCTTCCCCCAGCCACAATCCCTCATTGCCCACTCCTGACCTTGGGGCTCCATCCTCTGCAGGCAACCCTCTTTCAGTTCAGCAAGACCCTTCTCCCTGCCACCCTCTTCTGGAACCACTGTTTCCCTCTGTTTCCCCTAGCAGAGTCTGTCCTCAAAGTCTGGCATGGTGCCTACAACTCTGATCTCCCCCAACTCATGGCCCAGCATCCCCAGCCATGGCCCAGGTCAGCTTCCCCAGGGCCCCCTCCCCAGCCATAGGCAATATAGAGAAAGGCTCCCCTGGACTTTCCCACCCTGAACCCACAATGCCCTCCCCAGGTGTGGCTCAGCTTAGCTGCTCCCCTACTTCCTCCCAGCCTTGCCCACCCTGTACCCCAGGAAGAAGGCTTCAGCAGGGGGAGGGGTCTCATTGCTGCCTGCCCATGGGCAGCGTGCTCAGCCTGGTGATGTGGTAGGCAGCAGGGTGGGGGGAGTGCTGTCTGGACACAGGCCCTTTTGTGCCCAGCCTGACTTGGCTGCTTGGTATGAGGCTCAGCTGTTCCCAGATCCTTGCCCCCAAGGGGAGAGGGAGGTTTTAGAGGGGCTAAGAGGGCTTTGGGCTCTAGCTCCCTCTCAGTGTCCCCCCTCCAGATGTTGGCAGCAGCTCCTCAGGTGGTCTGGTGCACCTGGCACCGGGTGGCTCTGCTGGGTGCCCTCTGGCAGCTATTCCTCCCTTCTCCCCTCCTCTGCCATGCCTCCCTGCAGTTCCTGCCAGCAGAGGGGAAGCCTGGGGAAGGGGAGATTAGAGGGTCCAAGGTGTCCCCACTGGGGGAGGTAAGAGGGTCAGACATGGAACACAAATGCCTTGCTGATGGTAGCTTCTCTCCTGTCCCCACAGAATGGTGCTGTGCCCAGCGAGGCTACCAAGAGGGACCAGAACCTCATACGGGGCAACTGGGGCAACCAGATCGAGTTTGTACTGACGAGCGTGGGCTATGCCGTGGGCCTGGGCAATGTCTGGCGCTTCCCATACCTCTGCTATCGCAACGGGGGAGGTACCCAGTGGGCACAGGGCAGGGACCACCCACTTAGGTAGAGCCCACCCACCAGGACCTGGGCCATTCTCTCCCTGGCACAATCCCACTGTAGACAGAGGCTGGCCTCTGGTCCTGGTCTTCTTTGCTCCCATACCTGGCTTAGGCTAGCTTTGCCTTAGACCCTGATAGTCTGATATTGAAGTCTGACTTGACCAGCCTGTTCTCTTGAGGCTAGGAGATGTGGAGGAATATACCCCACCTTCCTACAGTTCACTCTTATCCCCCCATGTTTCAGCATCCCCTCCCAGATGGTTCAGAGAATATCTGAGGAGCCCAATGACTTGTGTTTATAAAGTGGATTGATTAAACCATCAAATCCCACCCAAACATCACAGCTCTGGGTTTGAATTCTGTCCAGAAAAATTTCCTGGGAGCCTCTGTCAAGTTCAAAGATGAGGACTGGAGAAGTGACTCAAGTGGTATAGCACCTGCCTAGCAAAATACAAGCCCTAAGTTCAACCCCCAGTACTATAAAAAAAAAAACAACAAAAGTTCAGAGATGGAGGTTGGGAGGCATGCCTCAGACCCAGGCTCCTGCTCAGTTCCTGGCACATTCCTACTCCAGTCCTAACCAATTATAAGGTTTTACTGTTGGATTCTGAGCAGGAAGCCCAAGGTGGAATCCCCAAACCCTCCCTGAGCCAGACGTCTTCCTACTGCCAGGTGCCTTCATGTTCCCCTACTTCATCATGCTGATATTCTGTGGGATCCCGCTTTTCTTCATGGAGCTCTCCTTTGGTCAATTCGCAAGCCAGGGCTGCCTGGGGGTCTGGAGGATCAGCCCCATGTTCAAAGGTGAGACCTGGGTGGAATATATTTTCTCTGTCTCGGTCTCTCTCTCTCTCTCTCTCCCCCCCTCTCCCACACACACACACACAACATACACATGCCTCTGGGGGCCTTGCTGACTCGCCCATCTGTACAAACATTGCAATCCCCTATGGAGCCTTGGTGTTGACCCCAAGCCCCACGTCAATGACTAAGGCAACAGACACATGCTGGGATCCATGTTTACTTGGCCTCCACCCTGCCCTCCTGCCATGTGTATATATACAAGACTCCTTTGTGCCCCAACTTACTCCTATTAAGTCCTTGACCTGTCCCTCCTGTAGCCATCCATCAAAGCCTGCCCCTTGGGCCCTTAGGAACTCTTAACCTCACTTTCTTCTGCTGCATGTATGAGCCTCCTCCCCCAACAGTGCTGACCTCTGTCTCTCCCTCCTAGGTGTGGGCTATGGTATGATGGTGGTGTCCACATACATCGGCATTTACTACAACGTGGTCATTTGTATTGCCTTCTACTACTTCTTCTCGTCCATGACGCACGTGCTGCCCTGGGCCTACTGCAATAACCCTTGGAACACACCTGACTGTGCGGGTGTGCTAGATGCCTCCAACCTCACCAATGGCTCCCGGCCCAGCATCCTGCCCAGCAACCTCTCCCATCTGCTCAACCACACCCTGCAGAGGACCAGCCCCAGTGAGGAGTACTGGAGGTAAGGTCCTCATTGGACCTGGGATGGACTGGGGGACCTGGTGGCAGTCCTCAGTGTCCCATCAGGTGACCATATGCAGACTTGGTTGGGTGCCTTCTGACCTTGGGTGCAGAGAGGAAAGAGATGATGAAGAAGCTGATGGACAGAGAGCGATGGAAGATGGGAGGGTGCATTGGGGAATCCTCACAGAGTAGCAGTGAGGGAAAGCTCCAAAAACCTGACAAGTCTTCAGAAGAGAATAAGAGCAAAGGAGGATGGCATGCTGGTGACAACAGCATGAGCAAGGTTCTCAGGTCCCAGATGAACAGAGGCTGGTCCCAAGGCTGTGGGGAGCCTATTCTGGTGAGACTACTGGGGTAGGGGAGTCCTTGGGCTTTGAGGTGGCCTTGGAGGGGGCACTGTGTTGACAAAGAACTTATAAGAATCAGGCTCAGACTTAATGCTGCAGAACAAAAAGAGTTGTGGAAATTTGCTAAGTCAGGGGTTCCATGATCAAGATAGCCTGAATCACTCTGTCCAGGGATGACAAAGAGACTAAAAAGTCTGAGGGTCAACTGAAGGGAAGCTGCTACTGGAGGTGTTCTTGAACACCTCATCCTAACTGGTTGGTGGAAGGCAAAGCAGAACATCCTGAAAGGAATTCCCCACATTCTATTGGGGGAGCCCCAGGGCAGAGGGCTTGGCTATGGGTGAGTGGATCTCATTCATTCCACAAACGTTCACGGCATCTGCTCTGCAGGCCCTGTGTACTTATGGTGCCTTAGTACAGGCATGTGCAGGGTGTGGAGACACCAAGGGGATAGTGGTTAGTTCTATGAACGGGGCAGAGAAGACAATCATGCTGCCCAGAAAAGGGACAGAGGAAGGTAGAGGGATGTAGAGGGACATGAGCAAGTGAGCAAAGGCCAGGAGGAGGAAAACTGGAGCTGTGGTTGGTGGCAAGTGGGATAGCAAATAAGGAGACAAAAGGGCTGGCAGGTATAGGCACAGGGCTCCCTTGCCAGCTAAGGGTTTGAGGCTTTCTCTGTTATTGGATGGAGAGCCAGCCATAGGTGAGGAGGTGCACGAGGCCCCAAGGACATATACTGAAGTCATAGCAGGTCTGCCAGGTGCAGTCCCGAGAGTACAAATCCTGAAGGATCAACTTCCCTGTGCCAGCCTCTGTGCAGGGGATAGACCCCCAAAGTCAGGTAAAATGTAGTAAATGGCTTCCTGATTCATAGTATAGAGAGCAGGACTCCTGCCTCCCAGTGAGGACTGGACATGCTCAGTCATGCAGTTACTGGACAGGCTGTTTGGGAGAGCTGGGGGGCACAGAATAGGGAGTAAGACCCACACAGATACTGCCTTCCTGGAACTCCTGTGCAGGGCCTAAGCAGATTGTCCAATTTGGAGTGTTACTGCACTGGAGGTATGGTGTGAGCTGGGCAGCTCAAACTAGCCTGAAGATGATGAATCTTCCTGGAAGCTCCCAGAAATGCAAAGCCTCAACCATGCGGCTACCCCCCACCAGATGCTTCGTGGCGCCTGTCCCAGGAACTGTCTGAAGCTCTGGAGATTTTATTCAGTGAAATCAGAGGGGAATTGCCCTCAGATAAGTCTGACTGGGGGGCCTACTGGGTGACTGGCTGAGCTCTTCTCACAGCTGGGCCTGTGTCAGAGCTGCCTAACCAGAGTGCTCCCAGCTTCCTGGGACCCTGGCAGCTTCCTTGACGAATGGCTCTCTGCTGCCACCTCCTGGAGATCTTGGGAAGTTACCCTTGAGAATGCTGCCCCTAGTTTGGTGAGTGGCTCACATCTGTAATCCTTTGGGAGGCTGAAACTGGGACGACTGCAGTTCTAGATCAGCCCTGGCAAAAAGTTCATGGGACTCCCCCATTTCAACAAAAATATGCACTGTGGCATACACCTGTTATTCCATCGAAGTGGGAAACATAAAAAAAGGATCGTGGTCCAGGCCGCCCTGGACAAAGAGCAAGACCCTCTCTCCAAAAGGGCTGGAAATGTAGCACAAGTGCTAAGTCCTGAGTTCAAACCCCAGTACTACTGGGTTTTTTAAAAAGAAAAGAAAAAGAACGCTGCCCTTGCAGGCTTCACTGAGTACAGGGGGAGGAGAATAGGCACCTCCATTTCTTGAGAATCTACTCTGTTCCCACCTATCTAAGTAGATATTATTCCTATTTTCAGATTTAGAGACACATTCAAAGGTTAAGGAGCCAGGTAAGCAGTGGCTGTGTTAGGGCTGCAGGCACCTGGGCCATCTGGCTCCAGTGTTCCCTGGTGCTAAATCAGTGGTGCATGGCAGATGTTCTTAGCCTTGACCCCTCTTTGAAAAGCAGCATGATGTCATTCAGGCCCCACTACAACCCCTTTAGGTAGCTATTTTATGAACAAGGAAAGCAAGCCAAAAGAAAGATGAAGTGGTAGAGCACTTGCCTAGCACACACGAGACCCTGGGTTTGATACAAGCACCTTAAAAGAATAAAGAGAAGCCAGGTGCTGGTGGCTCATGCCTGTAATCCTAGCTACTCAGGAGGATTGCGGTTTGAAGCCAGATCGGGCAAATAGTTTGCGAGAACCTAACTCAAAAATACCTGACACAAACACAAAAATGGCTGGTGGAGTGGCTCAAGTGAAGGCCCTTAGTTCAAGCCCCAGAACTGAAAAAAAAAAAAAAAAATCAGAGGCTTCCTTCCCCATTGCCCTCCAGAAGAAATTCAAACTTCTGATCTTTGACTTCACAACTTCTTACAGTCTGGTCCCTTTTCTCTTCCCTTCCAGCCCTATTGAGTTCACCATATGCCCAGGCTGGCCTGTGCTTGTTCCTGACTCCCTGCCCTGCCATATGCTGTTCCCTTAGCCTGGCCTGCCCTTCTACCCCCCACTCCCACACTGTAGCTGCAGCCTGGCCTCTTCTGAGAAGCCCTTCTACCCCCCACTCCCACACTGTAGCTGCAGCCTGGCCTCTTCTGAGAAGCCTTCTACCCTGTCTCTCCCATCTCTGTCATGTCCTTCCCACCTAGAGAAGTCCTGCTTGCTTTCCTCCACCTTCTCTGAGGGCTTGGAAGATGTCTCCTGCAGGTCTGGATGCCCAGCACCTAGCCCAGGGCCTGGCAAGTGAGTTGGCTGAAAGTATGCGGCTTGTCTGATATAGGGCACCTGATGGAGCCACACACAGGGAGGAGTTTGGGTGCTCGCTTTACTCAGCGCTCCACTCCTCCCCCAGAACACTGGAGATGGAACAGACTAATGTGGTGGAACTCACAAAGGCTTCCTGAAGGAGGTGCCTCCGACAGGATGACAAGTGGGCATTCCCCAAGGGAGAAAGGCAGGAGAAAGGTCCTGGAGTAGGCCTAAGCAGGGACTGGGAGACATCCATGCCCCAGGGAGGACACTGGGTTAGGCCTCAAGTGGGGCTTCCAGGAGCCCTTGAGGGTCCCAGGAGAGGCTATGAGTAGTGGACTTGTGTCAGGATCCAAGGAGCTACAGCAGGCAGAGGGGGCTGGGCTGGCTGGGACTTAGGCCCCAGCAGCGGCTCCTTTCTTACACAAGCTGGCCACTGGGGTTTCATGACAGTAGGAAATGGTCAGCAGGGCCCTGGGTCTTGGGCTTGAAGCAGAGGCTGGCCCTCCATGGCAGTCTCTCCTCCCGCAGGCTCTATGTGCTGAAGCTGTCAGATGACATTGGGAACTTTGGGGAGGTGCGGCTTCCCCTCCTGGGCTGCCTCGGTGTCTCTTGGGTGGTTGTCTTCCTCTGCCTCATTAGAGGGGTCAAGTCTTCAGGAAAAGTGAGTACCCTCCTTGGCAGGGTCTGTTCCCACCCCGACAGGCCTGTGTCCCCTCCCTGGGTTGTGGGTGGGCATTGGGGAGGGGGTGATGAAGGGCCAGGAAGAGGGGTCAGAGCCCAAGGATGGTTGGGGGTCAGAGAGGTGATGCCAGGGTGGGAAAGGGTGCAGATTTGTCCATGGAGCTCTCTCGCCCCAGGTGGTGTACTTCACGGCCACTTTCCCCTACGTGGTGCTGACCATCCTGTTTGTCCGTGGAGTGACCTTGGAAGGAGCCTTCACGGGTATCATGTACTATCTGACCCCACAGTGGGACAAGATCCTGGAGGCCCAGGTGGGATGTGGAGGGGGACCCAAGAGGGGCCGGGGGGAGCCAGGGCAGGTGCATCTGGCCACGGCACTTCACTAGCTGCCCTCCCTACAGGTTTGGGGTGATGCTGCCTCTCAGATCTTCTACTCTCTGGGCTGCGCATGGGGCGGCCTTGTCACCATGGCTTCCTATAACAAGTTCCACAACAACTGCTACCGGTGAGAAGCCCCTGCCAGCCCAGAGGCTGCCCCTGTCCCCGCCCTCTCCACAGCCTGACCCTGGGCCCCAGGTTCCCCTTCCATTCATGGCCTTAAAGTTCTGACAATGTTGAGTCTGGATTGAGTCACAAGAAAGGGGAGTGAAGCTTTGGCCAGAGACAAAAGAGGAAAGAGATGTCCTGGGGGTCTGTAAGGACTCAGTAGCCTCTGACCACTCACAATGGCCCAGAACAGATGGGAAAAGGAGTTGGGGGGCACCTTTGCTTCTAGAGCTTTTCCTGTCTTTGTGTCTTCTCTTGGTTCAAATCAGGGAAAGGGAATCAAGCTGACATCTGATGAACATAGGTCTAAGCTTTTTTTTTTTTTTTTGGACAAACTCCATTTCTCAGTCAGCTTGGTGAAGGAATTTGTCACCCATAAATTCTTCCCTCCTGAACTCTGTCCTTGTTTTTTCCCCTTCAGGGACAGTGTCATCATCAGCATCACGAACTGCGCCACCAGTGTCTATGCAGGCTTTGTGATCTTCTCCATCCTTGGCTTCATGGCTAATCACCTGGGTGTGGACGTGTCCCGTGTGGCAGACCATGGCCCTGGCCTGGCCTTTGTGGCTTACCCTGAGGCCCTCACACTGCTGCCCATCTCCCCGCTGTGGTCCCTGCTCTTCTTCTTTATGCTCATCTTGCTGGGCCTGGGCACTCAGGTACAGATGCAGAACAGGACCAGTGGCCTGGGGAGGGAAGAGCTTGGCAGAGCTCAGGCTCCTGCTCTGATGGTGGTACCCTGTAGTTCTGCCTCCTAGAGACACTGGTCACTGCCATTGTGGATGAGGTGGGGAATGAGTGGATTCTGCAGAAAAAGACCTATGTGACCTTGAGTGTGGCTGTGGCTGGCTTCCTGCTGGGCATCCCCCTCACCAGCCAGGTAAGAATAGAGTTGGGGAACGGCCAGGCTGTACTTGTCAGGGTGTGCAGAAGCAGGTAGGGGAGCCCAGGCCGTGAATGTCCTGCCTCAGCTGCCTACTGGCCCACAGGCAGGTATCTACTGGCTGCTGCTGATGGACAACTATGCAGCCAGCTTCTCCTTGGTTGTCATCTCCTGCATCATGTGTGTGTCCATCATGTACATCTATGGTAAGCACGTGTACTTCCTGTGTATCCCAGTCCCTGGTTGGCCCACCCTGTCCTACTGGGTCTGCTGACACATCCTCTCTCCAGGGCACCGAACTACTTCCAAGACATTCAGATGATGCTGGGGTTCCCACCGCCTCTCTTCTTCCAGATCTGCTGGCGCTTTGTCTCTCCAGCTATCATCTTTGTAAGTTCCTTGGGGGCCTCCCTGCCCCTGTGCCCATCACCCAACTGTCCTCTTGGAAACCAGCAGAGAGAGAACAGGAGCTCATCTACCCAGCTAGAACTCTATGGCTACAATTCTGGCTTGGGCATCTGAGGGAGTTTGGGTAGTCAGGTGGAAGCCTTGAGACCCTGGCCTTGGATTAGGAAGGGATGTTGAGTATTTGACTGAAGACAATGCCCAGGCTCAGATGGGGACAGCAACTGCAGTAACTCCAGTGAGTCAACCCCCTTCCCTGGCGATCGCACCTGGCTTCCTCTGAGGGGCCTCAGGAGTCATTAATACCAGTGTCACCTCTGCCTGCCTCACTGCTCTCACCCCCCCAGATCCACACAGAGGAGAGGAGGCCCTCAAGGAGCAAAATATGTGGCAGGATCAGGAATGCGGGAACCTTACAGAAGCAGCCCCAGGACCTGTTGGTGTAGGTTTAGGAGTCAGGGGACAGCTCTGCAGTGGGAGCAGCTTCCCAAGCTACAGAGAAGTGGACTGGTTTGGGAGTGGGGTTCCCTAAGTCCACAAATATTCAACAGTTGGGAAACCCATCAGAGAGCCAAATTGGAGGAAGGAATCCCACCCCCCACCACGGCAAGGAACCAAGCACTTCCTACACACTGTTCCCATGGTAACTTGTTTTTAATGCTACTCAGGGTATCACTGCCACACTCACTTTACTGGTGAGGAAACTAAGGCTCAGGGATGTTAAGTAATGCCTGGGTTACACGGCTAATAGGGGCAGGGCCATAACGTGCAACGCATCGCCCTGTCTGGAGCCTGTCTGCTGGGCCAGGGTGATGCACTATGGGAAGAAGGAATGGCCTGGTTTTTCTGCTTGAGGTTGGGGACTCAAGGAGTTGATGGTGTAATAGTAAGTATACAGAAAAGAGGGTCAGAGGGGTCACCCAGTGACAAGGCAGTGTCAAATCACCCTTGTCCTGCTTAGTTCCTCGGTGCTATAGGGAGCTCTGCACTGGATTTCCACTCTGGCTCAGGTTTCTGACAAAAGGTCCCTGAGGACTAAGGCCTCCACCACATGGGGTATGGGATATTCTCAAGTCTGGTATAGGCACCAGCTCTGGCCACTGGCCCAGCTTTGAAATAGGAGGAGCTGAAGTCTCCTGTCAGGCAAGGGTGGGAGGCCAGTGAGGCTAAGCGCCACCACCCAGTACCATGCCCTCTGGGGGTGGCTCAGACCCACCAAAAGGCAGCTCAGCCTCTTGGCATGCAGGGTGGACTGCTGCCCTGTGAAAACCTGAGGACACCTGCCAATGGCAGGAGGAGGAAGGAGATGGACACGAGGACCTTTATGGGCCCGCATTGGCCTGGGTCCTGTGTCTCCTTGAGACTGAGGCAAAGTGGGTCCTCCCTGTGCCCAGGAATCCAGGCTGGAAGTGCCTCAAGGGGAGGACTCCAGGTTTTGTGGATATGTTTCAGGGCTGTCACTGCCGCCTTTGGAGGCTTTACTTCTTTGTAAATGTGTTTTCTGGCAAACTCCATCTTCTGTCCACTACATGGATTTGTCCACATATCGACCAGACTGTGACTCAGGAAGCTTGTTATGTGTGCAGTATCCCAACATGGGTTCCCCCGTGTGGATGTGGGAAGGCAGGAGAAGCCTGAGCTCCAGGCTCCCGAGGAGGGCACTTAGCTCTCTAGCGGATCAAGGCACACCCCCACTTAGGCCCTCTGGGACTCTTACTTCCCACCTCACCCACCTCTTTCCAAAGAGGCTCCCTATTGTATCCAGTCTGACATTTGCTGTTTCTAGCCTTTGGGTCCTTCCCAGGATGAATGTCACTGTATCCACAGCCACAGCCAGGCAGGGCTTCACCCTATCCTCTCTCCTATCCCCCTCTATCTCTTGGCACAAATCAGTTCAAATCAAAACTCTGCTAGGCACCATGCAGGGCACCTGAGACCCAGAGCTGATGCCATCCCAGAAGCTCCCAAGTCTACAGGAAACAGCTCAGAGGAAACAATGCAGCTCAGAGGAAAGCAGATGGAAAATGCCACTGGCAAGGGGAGTGTTCCTTATCAAGGAGATGGGGAAATCTGGATGGGCTTCTTGAAGGAGGTGGCATTGGCTCAGGCTTTGACAGAGGAAGATGCATTCATTCCCCAGATGACTGAAGAGGGAGTGGGAAGTGCTGGTATAACAAAAACCCTGAGGCAGGGTACTGTGGACAGCAAGATAACAGGTCACGTGGCAATGTGGAGGCCTAAAAGTCTAGGAAACTGGCCTCACCTCAGTAGGCAGTAGGGAGCCATTTTGGGTCTTGGAGTGAAACTGACTTCCAAAGGGAGCAGCAGCTTGATCGTTCTCTGGAGAGTTCAGGACTCTGATAAAGACACAACTCTCCTTTTCCACGGTGCCTATCTGCTCACCATGACCCAGGCCCCTGGTGCTGCCTGCTTCTTCCATTGCCCAGGTGTTGACAGTTGCCTGTGCCCTGCTCAAAATGCCTCTTTCTAGCTTGGGAACCTGGAGGAGTGCTGCTTGGGGCGGGGGGTGAGGGGGTTTATTCTGGAGTCTGGGAGGAGCTCGGGACTGGCCTCACACCACTGCCATCCCCACCCCTGCAGTTCATTCTCATCTTCACCGTGATCCAGTACCAGCCAATCACCTACAACCACTACCAGTACCCAGGGTGGGCTGTGGCCATCGGCTTCCTCATGGCCCTGTCCTCTGTCATCTGTATCCCACTCTATGCCCTGTTCCAGCTTTGCCGCACAGATGGGGACACCCTCCTCCAGGTGAGAGGTGGGGCAGGCTGGGCAGCCAGGTGAAATGGGAGGGGGTGGATGAATGGGGCTCAAGAACTTTCTTCTGACTAGCCCTGCCCACTGCAATCCCTGCCTGCAGCGTTTGAAAAGTGCCACGAAGCCAAGCAGAGACTGGGGCCCTGCTCTCCTGGAGCACCGGACTGGACGCTATGCCCCCACCATAGCCCCTTCTCCTGAAGATGGGTTCGAGGTCCAGCCGCTGCACCCGGACAAGGTCCAGATCCCCATTGTGGGTAGTAATGGCTCCAGCCGCCTCCAGGACTCCCGGATATGAGCACAGCTGCCAGGGGAGTGGCCCCATCCCAGCCCTGCTCCCACCACAGAGACTGGGGAGGCAGAGGACAGGTGTCACCGCCTGCTTCCTGTCAACCTTGGCCACCACTGCTAGTGCAGTCATTCGTGCTCATGTCCCCAGTGTTTACATGTCCTTTGGATGCCAAGATGGCAGCTGGGGGTGGGGAGGCAATGGGAGAATTCCTGGGGGGCTCAAAGCACTTTGGAGGGATCTCGGGCCAGGTCCTCAGAGGCCTGCCAGGTTTTACATGGCCTCTGATACCCTCAAACACTGCCCTGAGCTGAGGTTCTGGGTTGCCCACCCCCTGCTCTCCTTCTTGGGCCCCAGCCTCATGACCAGTGTTCCTGCCCCTAGAACAGACCCCAGCCTCTGCCCAGGCAAATTTGGATCTTCCTACTTGAGGCAGGTTGAGGGGCTGGGGGCTGCACAGTGTTATTTGTCAGACTGTACCATCCAGCCCTGTTTATCCGTGCTATTATTTTTGTAAAAACTGTATTATCTGTGGTTCCCATGCCCCAGCCCAGCCTCAGGTCCAATCTGTCTTCCAGGCCTGCTTGCACCTCACTCAGCTCTGCCCCAGGTCTCTGTCCCTCATTCCAACCCTGGCTGTCAGGCCCAGCCAGCAGAGGCCGTAACTCAGCAGCCTGCCCAAAGCACCCGTTTCTGGAGGGTAGGGGTGGGGGCTGCTCAGCAGGAAGTTTGAGCCCAGGGTTCTGGGGAAGGGGACCTTGCACGACACCCCCTTTCCTTCTCCACCAGACTAAAGGCCCAGTCTTCCCAAACCTGTTGCCCCTGTTCACGTGCCAAATGGCCCCAGCCCATGTGCCCATCCCCTTTCCTTCTCCGGAGCCATGCAGTGTCTGTTTGTCCATCCTCTGTGCCCTCTGTGCAGTGACAGCCTCACCCAAGCCACCTCTAATCCTCTGTAGCAATAACGGTGCGCTGCCCACCCCTGCCCATCGTGCACCACTAGGATTTTAAAGTCCGTAGATTTTAATGAAATTTCTATTCCTGTCTCTGAGCTGCTGCTGTGCTTTGTCTGACTCTAGGGGACAAGAGTCAGGCTGGGATGGGACCTCTGTCAGTCAAGCCTTTGTGGAGGCCTGGAAGCAGAAAGGACAAAAGCCTTTGATGGTTAGGACAGATGTCTGGCCACTCAGCCCTAAATATCAGAGACCTGGCAAGGGGTGGGGTAAGGACCAGACAATAAACAGCCTTAAAATCCTGGCAAGAGCTCATCCAAGACTAGACCAGAAGCTGGCGGGACAATGGCAGCTGGAGGCAGCAACAGCAGGTGGGGCGAGTTGCAGCAGAGTCCTGCTCTGTAGCTAGCCCTTCAGGTTGGGGTCTGGGGTGCTGCACTGGACACTGGCCCTTCCCTGGGACTGCACCGAAGCTGCCGTCCCCAGCGATGAGTGGCAGCTGGGCCTCCAGGTTGGGGGCAGCGCTCCAAAGGAGGTGCAGGCAGGTGGCCTTGGAGAGGCCCAGCCCAGACTCCAGCAGCCCCAGGGTGGCTAGGAAAGGATCTGAGGCTCTGAGTGGAGGACCCTGAGGGCCGCTGCCTGGACAGGAAGGAGTGGCTGTGAGGGGGGTCAGGGTCTGACCCTTCAGCCCACCCTGCCCACCATCTATGTGCTTTGGTATACCTGTGCTTGGCAGAGATGCAGGAAGGCCGCAGAGAGGCCTGCAGCTCCTGTTCCATTGCTTTCTTCTGTTCCTTCAGCTCTGAAGGAGGGCACAGCTGAGACGGGGCCTGGCTTTCCTAGGGTGTGCACAGTGTGGGGTGGGGTTGGGAGTCTGGGTACTCTGAGGCCTGCTCAGGGTCCTCACCTGCCAGCGTGGGCTCTAGGGTTGCCTTTTTGCTCTGGTGAGCCTCCGTATGTTCCACTTCCAGGCAGTGCTGCAGGGAGAGCTGGTCAGTTGCCCTGCCTGAAGGCAGAAGCCAAGATCCCTAGAGCAGGGGCCCAGGAATTAAGTCCATGCAGCCCCTCAGCCCAACCACCATGAGGGCTCATCCAGAAGAAACATCAGCCCTGCTGAAAGCTGAGCTTGGCAAGATGGTGGTTGGGCCTGCACTCAGATTTAGGGAAGGGAAAGAGGCAAGACACCTGGGCTTTACAGAAGCTTAATTGAAAATTGTTAACCCTGCACATAGGGGTTGAACCAGGATCCAGGATCCTGGGCTGCTAGGACTTCACACATACACAATGTGCACACATGAAAAATGGATGCAGTACTGACAACCTTGACATGCACATATATGTGCAGACTCATGTGTGCCTGGACTCAGGCCCCTAGGTGAGAAGCATGTATGTCTCCGTTCAGCAGAAAACCCAGGGGAAGGCCTAGGGCAGTGCTCACCTGCAGTGTGGAGATCTCCCTCTCCAAGGTGAGGCGCTCCTCCTCCAGGAGGGCCCTGGGACATGAAGGAGCACAGCAGCCAGAACCAGTGCTGAAGAACCCAGTTTGAGACCAGCACACAGCCCCAACTTCTGGAGCCAGCAGGATCCCCTTCAAATCCTTTTCTGAGCCACACTGCCCTATGCTGCTGGGCAGTACCTGTCTTCTTCTTGCCCACTCACAGCCTCAACCCCAGTAGGCATCATCCTGTTCAGTACTATTACACTGGACCTTTTTTTTTTGGGGTGGGGGGGACAGTACAGAGTTTGAATTGAATTCAGGGCTTTGAGTTTGCTAGGCAGACATTTCCCTATCTCTGCTTCCAGAGTAGCTGGGATTATAGGCATATACCACCAGGCCCAGCTTAAAAATATATGTATTTTTGGTAGTACTGGGGTTTGAACTCAGGGCCTCATGCTTTCTAGGCAGGTGCTCTCCCACTTGAGCCACTCTGCCAGCCCTTTTTTTGTGGTGGGTATTTTCAAGATAGGGTCTTGTGAAGTTTTTGCCCAGGCTGGCTTCGAACCTCAATCCTCCTGATCTTTGCCTCCTGGAGTAGCTAGCATTATAGCCAAGAGCCACAAGCTCCTGGAGGCATTGGGCTTTTGACTCTTCCCATCTCCAATCTCCCCCACATCACAGCCTTTCTCCTGCTTATGACCCTCCTGTGGCTCCCCTTGAGTCAGGATGAAAATCCCAGGGCTCTGGCCCCTCCTGGCATCTGCACTTGGCTACTTCCTGGTGGTAACCTCAATAGCTCTGCAGCAACTAGCTCTGTCCACCTCTCAGACTTACTTACACACAGTTCCAGCCCCTCAAGACCCATCCCTGTCTTCTGTGCCGACCCCCACCTATACATACTCAGTGCCCCTTGGCCTCACCTCAGATATCCGGCAACCTGGTCAATGCTGGACACGTTCAGTTGGTCCTTGATGATACTGAGGTCCCTGTAATTGCTGCTGGCAGATGAAGTCAACATCACCCACCCCAGGCTTTCAGGACACAAATGCTATTTCTCCTAGACAATGTGTCTTTATCACAAAGGCAACATAATATAGTGCAAACAGCAGGAGTTCTGGGGCCTGGGCTTGCACACCAGTTCTCTCACCCTTCACTGTGTGACCTCAGAAAAATTGCTTATTCTTTCTGAGCTTCAGTTTCCTCATCTGCAAAACGGAGACATCAACCCTTACAGGGTTGTGTGAGGTTGAGAATAAGAAACTGTTGCCTCCCACTTCTTATGAATACACTCCTTACTCGGTTGTCTCATTCAGCCTCTAGCTGTAAATACCACTTGTTGCCCTCTCCCCTCAGCTCTTCCTGCCCCTCTAGCCCAGCTCTCACTCCTGCGCTCTAGGCCTGAGAACAGCTTCCCACTGGACACGCCTCCTGTTCTCTCTCCTCTTGCAAAGTTTTTCTCTCCATCTGCCTGGAAAACTGCTCTTCTGACTCCACGATTCAGATCAAACCAGTCACTCTCTCTAGCAAGGCTTGCCTGCTTCCAGACTGGGCAAATGTCTCCTTAAGACTCCTGTAGCCCTCATGTAATGATCCCTGTCACAAGTGGCTGTAAAAGTGTCCAGTCCCAAACTGGCAGTTCCTCCATGGAGCCAGGTGGGCTAGGGCCCTCTGGCGAGCAGGGACAGATCCCTCCCCTACCACTTTACCTGGGCTCACCAGCTCTCATCTGGGGTATCTCCTGCTCTGGAAAGTCACACTTGGGCTCTTCAAAAGCAAAGCGAAGGACCTTGGGGCTAAACTTGGCCCAGGCCTGGGTCTGATCCCTGCAGACGGGGCACATGAAGGAAGCTGAGGGGCTCCTTTCAGGAAACCTCAGGAAAAGGCCATCCTGGCTCCTTGTCAGGGGAAGTACTAGCCCACTGGTACCTGGGAAAGGGGTCCGGACCTGAGACTCCCACCTGCCCTCGAAGATAGCCTTATGGCGGAGACTTTGGAGGAGCTGCCGAAGTTCTTGGCGCACAAGGTCCCTCAGTAGAGGCGGTGGTGCCAGAAGGGAGGAGGGGTCAGAGATAGGACGGGAATCCTGGGCTTGTGAGGATCGAACCTCTTGGAGCAGTGCCTGTAGCATCGTCACCTGCAAGGAGAGCTGGGACACCTTGCTACTGGGCAGGGAAAGGACTGGAGTCAAACAGGCGACGGCAAGGACAGATCTTCAAACTCCCCGCGTAGGGTCAGGGACTCGGAGGAGGTGGGAAATCTCGCGAGTCGTGAGGCAGCCCTGGGGCGTGGCCCACCTTCCCATCCCCCACCTCTGCTCGCAGCTCCAGGTTCAGGTCCACCGCTGCCTCTCCTAGAATCCTCTTCATTTCAGGCCGCTCCGGGAACGGAACGTGCTCCTCCACCAGCTCCCACAGTGATGGGGAGTCCCAGGGCATGGCCAGCCGGCGTCGCTGTCCCCTGACCTATGGGACTGCTGTTCAGAGTGCTGGTGTACTCGGAGACCGCCGGTCGCTCGGAGCGGGGGACACGCCCATCAGCCCCGCCCACCCGGACATCACAGGTCCCGCCTTGTTCTACCGCGGGTCCCTGGCACTCTCTTCTGTCCGGTCCTGGCAGACCCTCGGGGCCGGCCTTGGTCCTGGTCACTGCCACCGGGAACCAGGCAGTGTGAACAGGGCCCTAGCCCCGCCTCTTCCGCGCGGCCGTTACCCGGGTAACCGTGCGCGTCCCGGGCTCCGCCCCTCAGGAAGCCCCACGCCGCCTAGGCTCGGTCCTCCCGCAGCTGCAGCGGGCGGTCAGACTCCGCACACCGCGGGTGTGGTAGCGCTTGGAAATGGGAATCCCATACAACAGAGCCCGTCCCTGAGCGTCGCGGGTTCATCCTTGGCATCTTTCGGCCTCGAGGCAGGCGGAAGAATTCAGAAATCTGGTCCCAATGGGTTCACTACTTCGTTGCTTTGATTGGCCAGGGGGCAGTGGTAAACTTTCCCCCTAGGGCGGCCCAAATCTAGCAAGCTCCAGCACTTGAACAAATCTGGATCGCCCCGGCTAGGTTCTCTCCCACCACAACAACTAAGCAGGTCTAGGGACCCGGATCTCCATCCCAAACACACACAGGGACCTGCTCCATTCACGTTTTTTACTAAAGCACCCACACAAGTTTCTGTGCAATGTACAAACACCAGCCGGCCCCTGGGGTTTCTGCCTTTTCTCTGAGACAGGGAGGCGGGAACCACTGACAGATCCAGCCACACCTGCCCCCTCCCATGCAAAGGCCAACCCCAAGATCCCAGGCAGCAACAGCATCCCCTCTGGTCCCCTCCTGGGGCAGCTCCTCAGCAGGGGGTGCACCAAAGCTTGCCCCCTACAATGTTGAATGAAAAAGGTTTCCCCTCCCCTGGGAGCATGGGGGAACCCCAGATCTGAGAATTCCCCCTGGAAGAGACACTGCCCCCTAGTCATACCTCCCACCTTCCAGGCCCTAGGGGACTCAAGGGGGGGGGGAAACTGAGGCACAGAGAGGTGGAGTGACCTAGCCCAGGCCACTCCGCGAGGCAGTGCAGGGGCTGGCCCGACCCTGACAGTGAGGAAGGCTGGGCAGGGGGAGGGAGTGGGGTAAGAAGAAGGGTTGACCCCAGACAGGGCCACACTTGAGGGGCCCGCCCAGGCCAGAAGCCCCTCAAAGTGGGTTCTGAAACTTCTAGGTACAGCTGGCGGTCTGCTGAAGACCCTCAAACACAGCCCATAGTCTCAGTCCTGGGGGTCCCCCACAGAGCAGTTGCCAGCCAGGCTGTAGGTCAGTCCTCTGGTAGGCAATCCTTGGCACCAAGAGCCTTTGTCCATTATCGTCAACCCCGAGGGGGCCATGATGGGGGTCTCCCAATGTCCACTGTGATGTTGGTGAAGAGTGGTTGTCGAGACACCTCCAGGACCTGGTATCGCACTGACCCAATGCCATCCCGCTTCATGGTCAGCTTTGTGTTTTGAATCTTGGTAAACCTACAGAGGATGAAAATGGGTCCAGATCAGGGTGAAATGCCAAATTCAACATGGGAATCTCTGGGGCCAAGGCTCAAGCCATCGTGCTCCTTCAGGGATGACTCTGCAGCTCTTTGCTCTTTCTTGCATCTGCCCTATCTTACCCCCTTCAATCAGAAAACAGAGTTGTGATACCCTCACAAATCTCCCAGCTCAGACCATTCCAAGCTGTAGGCTTTGACATGGAGTGTCTCATAGGAACCTCAAATGCAATGTGTGCCATGTCAGATGCAGCATCTTTACCCTAAAAATCTGAGCCACCTTTTCTGTTCCTCATCCTTTAGTTACTCCTTTCTCATCCATTTATTGAACATTCCCTTGTGCCAGGTTGTGCTCTGAGTACTGAAGACATAGCCATGAACAGAACAGGCGAGGTCCTTCTTATGGCAAACCTGCTTCATTAGGGGAGACAGATGACAGGCAAGGGAAACATCAAAATGCTAAGGGGACAAGATAACTGCCTTGGAAGGAGTACATGACACTCAGTTGAGAGCAGTGGGAAGACAGCATCCTAGGTAGAGGTCAGAGCACTTGTTCCCTAAATTGGGAACAAGATTTTGTACAGCTACATGGCTAGACCTTTATGGGCCAAGGGGAAAACAGATTAAGCTGAGGTTAAAGCATGTATGGGCAGGGCTCTGTAAGTCAGAGTAAGCAGTTCATGTTCTGTTTCATGAGTGACAAGACAATGAGGGATTCTTAACCCAGTTCTGGGAAGGAAGATATCAACTTACAGAGGGACAAGGAGGAAGCCCGTGTAGTAGTTCAGGCAAGATCAAACCAGAGTAGAGGTAGAAAGGATGGAAAAGGCTCAAATATGTTTTGGCATTGACGTGACTTGCCGATGATTTGGACAAGTCACGTAGGGTGATGGAAAGAAGAATATAAGAACCCCCTAGATTTGAGGCAAAAAATAATAATGCACATAGAGTTACTGAGCCATCCAGAGTTCCTTAACCCAGAAATTTCTTACTGTCTGGCCATTTTCACACCCAAGCATCATTAGACACCACTAATTTATGATGGCACCCAGACAAGCTATTTCTGCAACAGCACCAAGGCTCCTAGCAAGTACTTACAGAGCTCAACTCTAACCCTCACCCCAACTGTTCTGATCCTCCCATGCTTCTGAGCTCAGCTCAGACCCCGCTCCTGAACCTCCCAGTACTATGCACTTTCCCTGGGCTGCTTTTCACCAGCTTCCTGAACTCCCTGGGGCCTCATGCTTCTGCCAAACTCCAGCCCTGCATCAGTACAATCCACCTTCCCCACTCCTCCACCCTAAGTTTGGAGTAGAAAAAGCTGGGGAAACAGCAGCCTCACTGGTCCCTGCTCCAGCATGCCCCTTCTGGCTCCATCAATTCCTTCAAACCAGGTCAATGTCTTTTCCAGTTCCAGCCAGCAGCCAGGCCAGTGCTTCACCACCCTGAGCTTCAACAGTAACCCTTTCAAACATAAATCTGACTCTGCCCTTCCTCACTCCAAACTTTTCCATGACACTCCAGCCCCTCTGGCACAAAAGTTAACCGACCCTACCTGGTACTCAAGACCCCGGACAACCAGCACTGAGTGCCCCCAACTGTCACTCCCAGCCTTTGGGTATCTTAAAACCAAATAGTCTTAAAACCAATAGAGTCTTTGTATATGCAATGCATGTTCATATTAGAAATACAACCCCCTTCATCCACATTGGCTTCCTCCATTAGCCTGGTGAATACAGCACTGTGCCCAAAGTAGGCATGAGACCAACATTTGGTGAATGATTAACTTTTCAAACTCTAGTTTACCCTCGCCAACTCCAGGACAGCAGGACAGGTGTGTGCTAGGATAGTACTTTGCCCTCATCACCTTGTGCTGTAACTGTCTGTCCCCTCACCTAAGTGAGCTTCATGAGGGTTATGACTGTTCTGGGTCAGGTTTGACACCACTCACAAAGAAGCATGAGGAAGCCCAGGAAGTCTTTGTCTATATTTCACCTGTTCTTTAGGTCCTCCTCTCAGCCAGCCCCAAACACCAAAAGGGGACTTCCTAAGATGGAGCTGCCTCCTCCTATCTCAGAGGGGTTGGCACTGTCTCGCCACTCCTGTCCCACGGAGTTCGCTTGTCAGGTCTCCTGGAGCTGTATTCAGCACCCACTCTCTCTCATCCTATCTGCTCTGGCAGGGCCTGTATAAGCAGCGGTCACTGATGAGAATGCAGTCTACTCAATGGCAATGTGAGTCCTAGTTTTAAATTCTAGTCATCTCTAGGAATCAGGCCAGGGATGAAAGATACCTGGGAGATGGGGAACAGGGATCATGGGTGCTGGGAGTCACTTCTTGGATCCAAGGGTCAGGGACTTGGGATCACTTCTATCATCAGTACCTTCTGGGAAACCCCCTTTCAGGGGTAAAGGATACTTGAAGCTACCTCTAAAGAGTCAGGGATTGAGATTCAGGGATACCAGAAAGTCACCTCTGAGGGTTGGGCTCATTATGCTTGTCCCGGTCATGCTTGATCATGCGATAGCGGCCTATTCGGATGTCTGGACGTGAGATCTTCATCCCAGTCAGGGAGATCCTGAGGATGGGGACAGACAGACTGGAGCAGGCATCAGAAGGGCAAGGAACCCCACCCAGTCTACACCTCACCCCCTCATCCACCCAGTCTGCTTCCAACCCTATACCTACTCACCGGTTAAAGATGTCATCATCCTCGCCACCCCAGCCCCAGTATTCGTTGGGGAAGCCATTGATCCTCAGAAACTGGGCCTTACTCAGGCCTGACACACCTCCAAAGTAGCCAGCATAGGGCAGCCTATGGCATGGGAGGACAGGTGTCAGAGCCGGAAATGGATTCAAAATGAAAGACCAGAGATGGGGTATGGGGAAAATGTGCAAGTGGGGGCCCAGAGAGGATCTGGCCTAACCAGAAGGGTCTGGGCCAGGGGCCAGCAGGGCACTGAGGCTGGGAGTAAAGGCCTGGGTGAAGTGGGGGTGGTTTAGCTGAGAAGAAAGCCTCACCGGAAGCCAAATTTGTCCATGGCAATGGCAAAATGGCGGGGCTGGTCACCACAACGGTACAGATTGCGATCATCCATGGGGACCAGGTCCACATCGCTGAAGATGAAGCAGTCATAGGCAGCGTCCTCCTTCAATGCCTCTAGGAAGCCCACATTGAGCAGCTTGGCTCGATTGAAGGTGTCCTCACCATGCTAGGCGGAAAGGGGGCGGGGAGCAAGGGAGAATAGGACAGTTCAGTTCTGGGCCCATGACAGCAACTACCTGCCTCCTCACTTTCCAGAGCAGTCCCTGCGCGGCCCACCCAGCCCCTCCCTCCCTGTGTGGTTCCCTCAGATCACAGGATCAAATCTACCTTCTCACCCTATATCTGGCCTTCAAAGGTCTTTCATGATTTAGTTCCAGTATCGTTTCTGGAACCTACCTTCAAACCCAAAGGCCCAACCATACTACATTCCTCAGCAGCTGGAGGACATAGAACATGCCAGACTCTTTCCTGTCTCCAGGTCTTGGTGTTAGCAGTTTCCCCTGTCTAGAATGCTCTCCTCTGCTTGTCAAACTATCCTGACAAGCCTCCCTGGCCCCGGTATGCTTTTTCCCTCCCTCCTCTGAGCTTCCTTCGTACCAGTATCTGTTAAACTGATACCTACAGCTCTCACCTCGTCCACTCACTCAAACGTGCCCTGTGGCCTCTTCCTTTGTGCCAGTGGGGAGTCTAGAGATGAACAACCCTGGTCTCTATCCCTGCTGAGCATAGTCACAAAGTGAGACAATGAATGCCCCAAATGACCACTGTCTAAGATACAAAACCACAGGGACTGAGCCACCAGCCTTAGGCACCTGTCCCCTCTGGCCCACTTTGATCCACATCCAACTCCCTGCACAGCCTCTGACACCAGGACAGGACTGGGGTAGATTTACTTGTCTTCCCAAAACAACAAGCAGAGGACTATAAGCAGTCACATCCCAGTGAGCCAAGGGGCTCCTGAGAAATGAGACAGCAGAGGTTCTGGCCATGCAGGCCTAAGTATCAAATTCTGGACAGAGTGGGGAGAATTCAACAGGAAGAACTGGCCCTGAGCCCTTGCCCCAACCCAGGCTCTCCAGGCTAAAGCCAGAAGCTTATGGAGAAAGGGCCTGGGCCGGGGGGGTTCTCTACAATGAGAGGAGAAACAGCAGCCACTTATTTGCCCCAGCCTAGCCAGAGTCTGATGAGTAGGAGCTGCTCCCTTCTGGACCAGTGACCTGCCCAGCACCACTTGTTCCCTTCTCTCCAGCTACTGCGCCTTCTCTTCCATCTGCCCTCGGAGGGCTTGTCCATTTTTTCCTGGCTCATCGGCATTCCTTCTGCCCTCTCTCACCAGCCAGGGGCCCTAGATTTTTCCCACACGGCTCATAAACATGCTCAGTCCTCTCCCCAGAGGGATAAAACGAACCCCTCTCCAGCCACCGCCCTAACTTTTGCCTTCTCTTCTTGGCAGAGATTTTTAAAAAGAGTTGTCTCCAATCAGCTTTGTTAAATCCAACTCCTTCCTCAACCCACTGCAATCTGCTTCCGCCCCCACCATGCCCCTGAAATGGCTCTTGCTGGGCCCACCTTGTTGCTAAATCCACTGGACTCTTCTTGGGCCACATCCTTCCTTACTCCCCCACAGTGCTCACACAGCTGCCATGTTTCCTTCCTGACACTGACTGCTTCTGGGATACCTGCTCCACTGGGTCTCCTGCCACCCTCTGGCCCATGTTCTCGGCCTCTATAGCAGCCTCACTCTTTCAGTGCTGGCTTTCTCCCCCCACATCCCATGCTCCATGGGCATGTCAGATGTTGTTGGTTTTAAGAAACCTCTCTCCCTGTAGAATGGTTCTCCTATACTTCCCTCAGGCTCTCAGATTCATCCCTGGCAAGACAGGATTCAGAATCATCCTCTCCCCCAGTCATGGCCCAGCTCCTGTTTCCCCTATCACTCACAGGCGTGGTCATCCACACAGCCAACAGCTAAGACCAAAGCCCTCACTTTGTCTTGACATCTTTCTTTCTCACTACTACTAGTGTGACACCTCCCCTTTATCCCCACAATGACTGCCCCACTCATATACACACATTTACCATCTCTTTCCTGGCCACTATAATCTCTTGCTAACTGGTCAGGCCACCTCTCTCCTCCCTCTTCCACCATTCTCCACATGCAATCATGGCAATCTTTCTTAAAAGCAAACATACACCTTATTCCTTGCTGAAAACAATAGTTCTCCACCATTTTCAGGCTGGAATTCAACTGACCCTTCTTGATTTGGCTTCCACCAATCCTTCCAGCAAATCTTTGCTACCCAGCCTGTATGCTGCACCCCATATCTCTGCCAATAGTTCCTGAACACAGAAGACCTGTTCTTTCGCTGAGCCCTGGTCCTTTTGGTCCCTCTGCCTAGGATGCTTGCCTCATCCAACTGCTAGCTGCTCATCCCCAAGACCTATCTCAACAACTGCTTTCCAGTCTCAGGGTTGGATCAGGCCCCTCTGTGCTCCCATGGTCCCTTGCTCCAACTCCAATCATATACCATCCTCCTGAAGTCTACAGGGATCTACATCCAAGTCTAGAGCTTCTCTGTGGGCAGGGAAGGCCTGCTTCAGATGCAATCTGGGACACAGCCCTAGGCCAGGGCTAAAATGCTGCACTCAGCACACTGGCCTTAGCCACCACCTGCCCCCGAGAATTCCAAGCTTCATCCCTCTTTCACAGTCTAATCTTCCCTCTTCTCAGGGCCCTCAACACCACCTTATGGTCAGTGTACCCTAGGCCTCTACCACCATGGGGTGGGGGTTGCCAAAGGCAGACAATGGCTCACCCCTTTCTGAGGCTATAGACATACCCACCAGCATGCATGTCAACACTCACATGCACATACACCCCTTCATACACACACGAACCTTCCTGTGTACACTGACAAATGCGTACCCCGGCCTCCTTGACCATATACACTCACATACGCACACAGCATGGGCAGACAAAGACCCACAGGTGCCTCCCAAACCCATGTGTGCACCGACAGGCATGTCAGTTCCCATACCCCTAAGCAGGCGTTCCCATAGGTGTGTGCAGGCTCTCTGATGGCTAGTGCCAGCTGCAGGCCACAGACGGCATACCTGGTTGATCACGTAGATTCCATAGCGCAGCCGCTGCCGCCTTAAGATGGGGTGCAGATAGTGGAGCCAGTAACGTAGGTGATGTTCACGGTGTCTAAAGGGGATGATGACTGCTACTGTCTGGGCTGGGGTGCAGTCAGGTGGTGTATAGCGGCCGCCCAGGAGCACACCTGGGTTCTCCCTCTGCACCCGTTCCAGGGGCATGGGTGAGGTGAACTCGATCAGCAATCGGCCCACTGCAGGCAGAACAGTGTCAGGAATCAGAGCCCTCGCCAAAATCCAGGGACACTGGCCTCCTGGGAATGGGCAACGGAACCCCAGGAATAGCCCTCATTCAACAGACCTGGACCCATGGCGCCCCCATGGTTCAAGACTCCATTTCCCCAGTCACACTGGTAGGACACTCTTCCCACCCCTATAGGCAGGCTCCTACGCTACAGGCTCACCAAGACCTGGTGGTGAGTCAGGACAAGGTGGCAGAACAGGAACCGTGGGACCAGGCCGGACACTGGGACCTCAGGAGCCCAGAGCTGGGGCAGTGGCGTTGGCCGAGAGCAGTTGGTGCTGCTGCTGGCTGCTGGGTGGAGGGCACGGGCAGGACCTCGGGCACTGAAGCGGCTGAAGAAGGCCAGGTGCTGGGCATAGACGTCAAAGTAGAGGATGACGGCCACAAGAAAGTGCAGCAGGCAGAGAAGGAGCACAGCCTTGCAGACGCGCTCCAGCGTCCCCCCAAGCAGTCTGCTCATCCCGCAGGTGGCCGCTGGCCTGCCCAATGGGCCCGGGCATCCGGCTGCTGGCCTGAGCATAGAGGTAGAGAAACAGACTTTGTAGGTCAGAGCAGAATGGGCAAGCTGACCACCTACCTCCTACCCAGCTGTTCATTCACAGACCCACATCCTTACACACTTGCCTACTCACAACCATTGACACTCACAGACTCACATTCTATTTGCAAACAGACAGTCAGTCGCTGGCAACTCAGTGCTCACTTATCTGCAGGCACACTCAGAACTGAAGTAAGTGCATTATGTTCCTTGTCTTCTCATAGGTACACAGGTACACACTCAGGTACACACCTTACTGTACAACTCTACACACATATACTCCCAGGAACACAAGACACGTGAACTCTGATCACACAGACTCATACCTCAGTATGGAAACACATTTACCTAGGAACCCTCATGTGCACCTGTGCCCCAGAGAACAGACACCCCACTGGGCAGCATCCTCAACCCAGGGCTCATGGCTTAGGGAAAGGGAGCACTTACTGAGTACCTACCATGCAGGAATACTTTATACTCATGACTTCATTTAGTCCTTCCAGCAGCCATGGTGGGAAGTGGTTTGGTCATTCAGGTCCCTGAGGCAAGCGGGCCAGGCCAACTGGGACCAGGCTGAGAAGTGGCACTCTGCATCCAGGGGGCCCAAATATGGACAGGATGTTTATATGATCCCTTCCCACTGGGGCAAGAGGTCAAGTACAGGGTGGGGCAGGAGATACCCTCACCTAAGACCTCAAGGCCATCTCTTGAGTCTGCCCTGCACAGCTAGTTTGGATTCCCAGAAGGGCTTGGGCCCTTCAGAAGGGGCACAGTTCTCAGCATGGTGGGGAGGGGTCTTGCTTGGGCCACGGCTCCAGCTGTGGTTCCAAATGAGCATCAACCACTTCTGGCAGTGCTCCAAGGAGCAGAGGGTTTCAATCACACATAATCACACCTTTGGTCCCAGCAGTAGTTGCCCATACTCAGACATACACATAACTACATGATGATAGTCACATACCAGCCACATACCAACAAAGCCTGTGCTCTCAGACTTAAGACAGACACACAACCAGGCTCACGGGCAGCTCACACCCAGACCCACGTGCAAGCATTCCCACCCTTCCCTCTGGGACAGGGGTTTTGGGTAAAGCGGCCGCCAAGCTGAGGGGTGCCTCTGGGCGGGGCTGGAAGGCTGACCACGTGGCACCCCGGGACAGGGGGACGTACCAGAGATCGAGACGGGGGAGGCAGCAGAGATTGGGTGGGTGTGGAGCACTGAGGGGCGAGAGGCACTTGGAGTAGGGGGAGTGGATGTGAGGTACAGGCCGAGGCACAGGGGAGATGTGAACCGAGCGCCTCCCCGCGCCACGAGGCCAGGGCGAGCGAGGACAATGAGCGAGGCTGGCTGGGGGCGGGCGCAGGAGCCCAGGAGAGAAGCCGAAGGATTGGGGGTAGGGGGGGGTGAAGCCAGGCCGGGGGCTGGCCACCGGCGCCTCTCACCCGGTCCTGGGCTGGGATCTGGGGCTGCGCTCGGGCAGTCCCTCGCGGAGATAGGTCTGCAATTTCGGGGCCCTGGATCGGGGACCGCGCGCGCCCTCCTCTCACCCGGCGCTCAGCAGGAGACGCCGCTCCAGCTCGGGCAGGGTTCCCGGCTCCGGCAGCTGCAGACGGCTCCGTTCCCCATGGCCCGGCCCCGCCGCCTCCCGCCGCCCGGTCAGCGGCCCCCGCGGCCCCCGGGCCGCCTCCCGCCGCCGCCGCGGGCCATGGAGCCGAGCCGCCCCGGGGGGTAGGGCGGGCCGGGCGGCCAGGCAGACTCACGGACCGGCGGACCGACGGACCACAGCGCCGCCGCCTCCCTCCCGCGCTACGGCGCCTCGGAGGGGCAGGCCCGGCCGGCGCGCCCGCGCGCGCGCCCGCGCGGCTCCCGCCTCCAGCGCGCCCGCACGCGCCGCGCGCCGCTGCCACGAGCCAAGCACCGCCCAGCCTGGCAACGCGGAGGCCCTGAGCTTGGGAGCGGCGCGGGAATGTCAGACCCCCCCTCCCCGCCCCCCTGCACCGGCTTAGAGATGGCCCGGGAGAGGGCGCCCAGTGACCAAGCCCTTCAGCGAGAAGTGGGGGACCGGGGCTGGAGGGTGTGCCGACGCAGGCAGGGGAATAGGGATTTGTTAATCCTTTCATAGGCGCCAAATTGAAAGTCCACCAGCACAGTGCGGCTGCAGGTTTAGTAGGACCCTTAAAGGTGTAAACTGTAAGTAACTGGGGCTTCTAGGGTAACAATTAGGTGAGATTAGGAGACAATCAGAAATCGGACAGCATCTGGACGGGAACCTGGGAATTTGAACCAGAATACAGATTGCTGGGAGGGCATGGACAACGGACAGAACTACCACATAGGGAATAGGCTCTGAGCCCCTCCATAGTAAGTGTTGATGCCTGAGGTTAGAGCTAGGTAAATAGTTGTGGTCAATTTGGGCCCAGTGGACAAGACCCTGAAGGACATAGGGCTAGGAGCCCTAGACTCTTCAACAAAAATGCTCCAGAGTCGCAGAGTCCTTAGCCCAGCACCCTTACCTCCCCACCAAGGGGCCAGCTCTGTCCAGAGCAGAGATGAAGTGTTCAGAGCCAGAAAGGTGGCAAGAGGATAGCATGAAGTGGGGATTCATAGGCCCTTTACTCATCTCTGCGAAAGGTGGCGCAAGAGGGCAACGGAAGCTGCATTGAGCTGCACAAATACCACATTTATTTCACAAACACTGGGAAGATGGGTTGGGGGTGCACAGCTGCACACACAGTTGCCGTCAACAGCTCATTCCCCCACAGTGGAGATTCAGCCTGGATCGCAGTGCCTCCAAGTCAACAGGCAGTGAGAGGTGAGTGCAGGGAAGGCCCTGAACACTAAGGCCCCCGAAAGGTTGAGGGGCGCAGCTCCAACTGTCCCAGGAAAACCAGCAATAAATAAGAGCAGGGCACAGCCCCACCCACACAGATCATCTAGTCACCCATCTTCACTCTGGAAGTCTGCAAAAGAAGAATGGGAGAAATCAGACAGGGACCTAGCAAGCCCATGACTGGATGGACAGACAACAAAGGATGACCAGACAGGACAGATGCACTGTGACAGACAGATGAATAGGGACAGCCAGACAAATGGTTTGGCTGAGAGATAAAAGATGGAAAAGTAGCATATGGATAGTGCCAAGAGTCAACCCAGTCAAGTACCCAGTCATATTTAGACGCTGAGGCTCATATTTTAGTCACAAACCCATACACTGTGCATCAGACAAGATACACAATTGATGTGCTTTCCTGTTGACAGGTAATGTCACAGAGAAATACATACAGACCAAAGAGACAGTCAAACATGTCAGGACTAACAGAGACAAAATTCCAACCCAGTCTAGACCACAAAGACATCATCTGTATTTCCAGGGATAGCCATCACTAAAAGGATGACAGATAACAGAACAGAAAGATCTATCTATCTAAATGAAAGAAACATATACACAGCAACAGAGGGAAAAACAAAAGGGGGAAACCAGGAGATAGGAATGAGGTGGTGAAAGATGTTCAGGGGTTCTACAGTTACAGAGAAGGTGAACACGTTGGCTTCTCTGGGAGGAAGGGAAGGCTGGGCTGGGGACAAGGGATTTAGCTTGTCCCAGAGAGATTTAGCACCTGAAGGATTGCAACGATGACCCCAAAGAGTCCGATGGCACTGCCAAAGATCTCCACGATGAGAATCTTTACAAAGAGGCTGGGGTTCTGTGCGTCAGCCAGGGCGGCCCCACTGCCCACGATGCCCACGCAGACTCCACAGAAGAGGTTAGACAGACCCACTGTGAGGCCAGCTCCAAACATGGAGTAGCCTAAGGACAGAAAGGAACTCAGGCCAAGCTAGGCTCAAGGGAGATGAAGACAAGGCCCAACATGGGCTAAAGGGCCAACTCTCACCCCCCAATTCTGCAAAGCAGAATGAGCAATACCAATATGAGGAGTCCAAGCTGGGAGGCAAGAGGGAAAGAAGGCCCAGCTTTTCACCTCACATGCCACCCACCCACCTACCTGCGTGGTAGTTTCGATGACCAATGGCCTTGGGGTCAGTAGCACTGAAAGGCTGAAGGGGGGCAAAAAAAAGCAATCAGAAATCACCCTTTATGCACCCGCCTCCCCTTCCTCCAATCTTTGGGCAATGTGTAAAACACACTAGAATGGATACCCATGCCCACCCTGGTCATCCTTACCTCAGCCATGTTGCTAATGACAATTGCCATGATGATGCCATAGATGGCCACAGCCTCACAGAAGATGATACTGGCAGTGGTGACAGTAAGGGGTGGAAAAGAAAGAGATGAGAAACCAATCTTCTTTCCCAGAAAGTTCTCTGCAATCCTTCCTTGATTCACATTTCCACCCTTTGGGGAGGCTGGTCAGAAGCAGAATGTCCTGAGGTCAAACACACCATAGCTGGCTCTGACAGCTGAGGGCCCTTAAACTTACCTGACCAGGTTCTTGGTTTTGATCCTGGGGCCTTCACCCCTCACCAATGATGGAGGAGCCAGTAATATAGATGCCCCTGGTGGAAGGAGAAGAAACTGATGAGCAGAGCCCAAGCTATCAGGGCCTCCACGATGACTAAAAACCCAGTAACCACCACCTGCCATGACTCAGGCCTTCCCCCCAGTCCCACCACCGCAGCACTCACCAGGCTGCTCCAACCACAGACAAGGAGATTGCTAGACCAATGCCCAGGTTCGACCACATGAAGGGGGAAGTCTCAGTCAGGAACCTGGTGTGGAAACAGAGAAGAAAGCAATTCAGCTCTGGTCAGGAAGGGGACACAAACCTCTAAGCCTCCCACTCCCCTCCAACCCCGCCAGCAGGGATGCTTGCAAAGGGAGTGTTCTGAGCAGCTGGGGGACAAAAGAGAGAAGCAGCTGATAGGGGAATCTTCTTCCTGCCCTCTCTTACCATGCCACATCGAAGCGGAAGCCCAAGTCAAAAATGGTGTAGCAGATTCCTGCAGCAGTGAAAATAAGGGTGAGGGGCTGCTTTGGAGAGAAGCTCCCCAGACGACAGAAATAAGTACTGGCCAGCTGACTGCCTCCTACATCTAAGTTAAGGGAGAAGCCCAAGGCTCAGGCCTCCATTTCCTGCCACTCCCACAGTAACACAGCTCCCTCAATGACACCAGGACCCTCCACAGGCACGCCCGGCAGGTGGGAAAACCCTGGAGGCCGGGAGGAGGCAAGCGCTCTGGCCAGGCCCCGCCAGATCCCGCCGGCCCGGTCCGCACCGCTGTTTACCCAACACACTATAGGTGGGGGAGGAGGAAGACACGGCAGAAGAGGAACCTGAGAGGCCGGCTCATGACCCTAGCAGGCCAGTCGCGAGGAAGAAAGGGACGGCAGCAGTGAGACGCGAAGATGCATAGTGACAGAAAGGGGCTAGTGGCGCCCTCGCGGCCCCTACCTATCGCCGTCCGCCCTCCTCTCCAAGCCCCGGCTTCCGCCAAGATCCCAAAGGCGGAAGGCAGGCTCGGGAGCCCAAGGCGGAGTTCCGCGCTGGGGCCCGGTATTTTGCTACCCCCTTCCCCCGAAGGCTCCAGGCGGCCGCCTCGGGGGCCCCCACTGCTGCTCGCGTCCGCCCGGGCCCGGCCTCACCCACGACGAGCATGCAAGCCAGAAGGCGACGAAGACCCCAGAGTAGAGCAGCGCCAGCCCGGTCATGGCGGCAACGACGGCGGGGATCGGACCCGTCTGGCCAGAGCTAAACAGCTTCCCTGCGTTCACCGTCCGCCCCGCAGTCGGTCCGCCCACCCCGCAGCGCCACCTGACGCGCCCACGTGACGGGACAACACCACGTGACCCCCGGGCACTGCGCGGCTGCTAGAGCGCGGACACGGCAGACGCCCCGCGCCGAGCATTGTGGTGGTTGTAGTCGAGCCTCGGGATAGGCTCCGGCGCCTTCCTCACCAGGTTGCCGGGGTCTCTGGCTCGTGCTTTTCGCGTCTTTCCACCGGCCCTGACTTATTCCCGGGCCTCCTCTCGCCACCGTTGTCCTATCCAGTTCCGGGAGGGTGCCGGACTGTTTCCTCTGCCTGAAGCGCGTCCTCTTCGTGCTCATCCTATTGCCTGGCTAACACCTACAGCACGCCTTCCCTAACCTAGAGACAGGGTAGCGTGCCAGCTGTGGGCTCCCACGATGTCCTGGTGATCTTTATAAGGCCATGCCGTTCCGGGTTTATCTATTTCGATGGATCCCATTTCACTCACAGTAAATGCCAAACTACATCCCAATGATGCAGCTCCTCACGTCCCTTACCTATCGTGTCTCTACACCCCCCCACCCCACCCCGTAGGGGGTCTGGGGACACAACGCAGGGCCTCACCATGTTAAGTAAGCACTGCTACCAACGAGCTACACCTCTGGATCCCTAATATCCCACCTTGTCTCTGGCTGCCCTCCTGCCTCCACTACGCTCCTGCTATTCCTTGAACGTGCCAGTGGTACCCCTACCCCATTGCAGTCCTTGCATCTATTCTAACTATCCACATGCTCACTCTGTAACACCCAGTCTTTACTCAAAGCGTTCCCTGCCCACTTTAATATTGCAATTCCCACCTCCCTTAAACACTCCCTTTCCCCTTCCCAGCTTTGTATTTCCCCATAGTATGTACTTGCCACCATTTGGAATATGAGTATTTTATTGTTTGTCTACCTCCCCTGGAAAAAAAGGAAGCACCATGATTTCTGTCATACTCACTACTGTATTTCTAGTACCTGGCATAGAACAGGCCCTCGATGGGTGTTTGTAGAATAATACATGAGTGGTGCCCACCTTGTCCTGGCTTCCATGCCAATTTACAGCTCTGCCTCTACCATTAGAAAAGGGTGAGGAACCAGATCTGGACAATGCCAGTAAAAAGACAAGATTCTCAGCAAATGTGGCAAATGAGGAAGTGAGTCTTTTACTTCACTCCTCTCAACTTTTGGGGTCCAGCAACTCCACTTCACTTGAAGCACCACCATGTTGGCTGATGCCTGGGTTTAAGACCAAATGTTCTTTTCACTTCTTTTCTTCTGACAATTATTTTTTTCCTCCACAAGATCCAGCTTAGGTGTCTCCTCTTTGGGAAGCCTCATGAGTCCTGGTCAGATGCCTGCTATGGGATCCAGCTGCCCCAGGGGCCCCTCCTCACAGACAATACTGTTTTACTATGTGATCAGTGCATATTTAACGGTCTCTCTTCTCAGCCACACTGAGGATAAGAACCTAGTTAAATACAACTCATATCTCAACCCACAGGATCTGAGTGCTTGACAAATAAAAGGAAACCAAAGGAGAAAATGTATTTGGTTTATTTGAGTTTCTGTGATGTCCCTGGGAAATAAGTCCAGGTCAAATATAGATCAGCACTATCCAATAAAACTTTCTGCGATGCTGGAAATCTCCCATAGCTGCCCTGTTCCCCTCATGCATCTATCTGAGTATTTGAGATGTGATTAGTGTGACCAAGAATCTGAGCTTTAATCTACTTAAACTTAAATTTGAATAGTCACATGTTTAATACTGTCCTGGACAGTGCAGGTCTAGACCAGTGGTTTTCAACCAGGAGCAGTTATGCCCCAAGGGGCATTTACTAATATCTGGAGACATCATCCGGCCAAAATGTCAGCAGTGCTGAAGATGAGAAATCCTGGCCTGGGCCATCTAACACTTGCTTCTTAACAAGGGCAGAACCTCACCTGGACTCAAGAACTGGATTGGCCACAGGTACTGGGCTGGTCATGGGACAGATGGCCCAGAAGACTTCAGGGAAACCCCTAACCGTTTTTCTCATCAGTCAAACAACAGGCATTTACTGAGCCACTGTATGGTGAGCCTCACAATAGTGCTAGACAGAAAAGACATGAATCCTATCCTCGGTGAGGGTTACTGCCCTCTCTCCATCCACTTCTTCAAGGATCCTGGCAGGGTGATAAGAAGTAGGTGAAGAGAGCACTAAGGGTCCCAGCAATATTCCTAACTCCTCTGTGTCTCTGACCTCACACAGCATCAGCTGCTTCCTCGTCTTCGTAGGCAATAGCAATCCTCGTCTCCACTTACAGCTTCTGTCACTGGTGTCTGACCCAGGCGGGGCTCCAGTCCCTGCCAGCTCCGGGAACTAAGGAATGAAGCTGTAGAGAAAGAAGCTCAGACTCAGTGGGCTGGATCTAGAGAAGGGTTCACCAGGTGGTAAGACATTTACACATCTACCTGCAGGACTGCTCTCAATGAGCTCTAGCAGGGGCCTCGGGGTCAGGGCAGAGCATCCAGGATCATTGATGACTTCCAGGAGGTGGGGTCGGAGCTCCCCAGAATGAGAGACACATCTGGGGTGTCCCACAGCTCTGACTCAGGTGGTGGGGGGGCACGTGGAAGGGAGAGCCTAGAACAGAGGGAGAAAAGAATTCATACTGGCTTTCTCAACTCCTTGCCCCCAAGTTTCTAGTTGAAATTTAGAGCCCTACCACTCACCAGGCAACAAGTCCGCATAATGTGTGAGGTAAGGAGCCAGGCCTGGAGGTGGCCAAGCAGGGTTGCAAGCCAGCCTCCCCCCCCCCCCCCCCCCCCCCCCCTCCCCCCCCCCCCCCCCCCCCCCCCCCCCCCCCCCACCCCCCCCCCCCCCCCCCCCCCCCCCCCCCCCCCCCCCCACCCCCCCCCCCCCCCCCCCCCCCCCCCCCCCCCCCCCCCCCCCCCCCCCCCCCCCCCCCCCCCCCCCCCCCCCCCCCCCCCCCCCCCCCCCCCCCCCCCCCCCCCCCCCCCCCCCCCCCCCCCCCCCCCCCCCCCCCCCCCCCCCCCCCCACCCCCCCCCCCCCCCCCCCCCCCCCCCCCCCCACCCCCCCCCCCCCCCCCCCCCCCCCCCCCCCCCCCCCCCCCCCCCCCCCCCCCCCCCCCCCCCCCCCCCCCCCCCCCCCCCCCCCCCCCCCCCCCCCCCCCCCCCCCCCCCCCCCCCCCCCCCCCCCCCCCCCCCCCCCCCCCCCCCCCCCCCCCCCCCCCCCCCCCCCCCCCCCCCCCCCCCCCCCCCCCCCCCCCCCCCCCCCCCCCCCCCCCCCCCCCCCCCCCGCCCCCCCCCCCCCCCCCCCCCCCCCCCCCCCCCCCCCCCCCCCCCCCCCCCCCCCCCCCCCCCCCCCCCCCCCCCCCCCCCCCCCCCCCCCCCCCCCCCCCCCCCCCCCCCCCCCCCCCCCCCCCCCCCCCCCCCCCCCCCTCCCCCCCCCCCCCCCCCCCCCCCCCCCCCCCCCCCCCCCCCCCCCCCCCCCCCCCCCCCCCCCCCCCCCCCCCCCACCCCCCCCCCCCCCCCCCCCCCCCCCCCCCCCCCCCCCCCCCCCCCCCCCCCCCCCCCCCCCCCCCCCCCCCCCCCCCCCCCCCCCCCCCCCCCACCCCCCCCCCCCCCCCCCCCCCCCCCCCCCCCCCCCCCCCCCCCCCCCCCCCCCCCCCCCCCCCCCCCCCCCCCCCCCCCCCCCCCCCCCCCCCCCCCCCCCCCCCCCCCCCCCCCCCCCCCCCCCCCCCCCCCCCCCCCCCCCCCACCCCCCCCCCCCCCC